AACTAGACGAAAAATCAGCTTTTGTTTCCCCAGCCGTTTCGAGGAAAGCTCAGGTAGAGAATCGATTCACCCTTTCAAACTGCGCTGCTGCACAGATAGTATTTTCATCTTATAATGTGGCCAAACACAGGTGGAGAAAAAGGTGATTTTTTTCCTCCTTGTTTATTTAGGCCTAAGGAAGAGCACTGACTGCCAGCTCTGCTGCTCTGGGACTTGATTCCCTTCCCAAAAATATCAGCAGGGCAGGATCTGAAATCACAAAACCCGGGACTGGTTTGCTCGATTCCTGGTTTTCTTTTACTCCCCATGACAGCTGCTAGGAAAGGGAATATTCTGTAGAATATTTAGAAATAGGCTGGAATTTGGGCTCAGCTCAAGAGGAAAGAGCAATCCCCACGAGCAGCAGACGGGTGCTTCATCTCTGACCTTGACATCGTGCCAGCCAGGTTCCCCTTCCCCAGCCGCAGCAAACACCGAGTGGTTTAAACCTGCGCATTTCATTGTCCCCTGCCAGTTTCCAGCAGCGGGGGGGATCAACTGAGCACTCATGGCACAGCAGGGAAAAGGAACAGGCTTATATTTGAGTCACAAACTCAGCTTCGGCTCCCTGCACCCTGGTAAACCCCACCTTCGAGCCCAACAGCAGCCGCGTGCCTCCGCGCTCACCTTCCAGCGGCGTCGCCGAGCCACGAGAACGTCACCGGGGAGTTGAGGTAAACAGTAATTTCAAGAAAGTAATAAAAACACAGTGTGCTTCAGCGAGACCTGAGCGTGCCCGAATTTACCTCGTGAGGCTCCGAAGAGGGAGGAAAGAGGGGAAAAAAACAAACAGACCCAAGTTCAAACTGGCTCGCAGGAGCGTAAACGCGGCCTCGGGCAAACAACCCCGCTCTGTATGGAGCCTGTGTCTCCGAACGCGTCCTCCTGTCCGACCAGTGCCTTTATATAAGCGTTTGTCTCAGATTCTGGCATGAGCCCTCCCGGTTTAACTGTTGTTAAAACACATATTAAAAGCGTTTCGTTTCCTTGCCAAGACACAGAAAGTTATACAAACTGCAGTCAACTCTACGGTGCAGCAGCAGCACCAAGAAATAAAAACACCTCAGTGATTCTACCTGCGCGGTGTCGATCTCCAGAGGGGCTAAAACCCCTCAGCTCACACGGACGACACGAACGGAGGACGTGAAGACAAGTGCCCGGAAAGGAGCGTCCTCGTCTCAAAAATTGAAATAGAAACCAGATAGACTTTGCTGTTGACTCGCCCAGGAGCAACGTCTTAACCAGCCTGGGAACTGCAGATTTCCCAATTCTAATTTTTTTGCCTTCAAGTGCAGGGCCACACACGTTTCTCCTCTCCCCGTGAGTGAATGCACTTACTCGTGGGAGCAACAGCAACCCCGAAATGTTCAGCAAAGTGCACTCGCATCACAGCAAGGACTCTCGACCCTCCAGGGCAGGACTGCCTAGGCAGACACGCCAGGATAGGGAAGCAAAACTAAGCAGAGGTATTTTCCCACTGGTTACAAGATGTAAATCACACCCACATATATGTCAGAACCAGGACTGGAAGTTAATGTGGACACACGCCCCAACGCCACCGCTGCGCCGCCGCCGTCCTGCAGCTCAAACGTAACGTCCAGCCAAGTTAGAGAACTGTTCGGCGGGGGATGTCACGTTGAGCTCAGGTGCCTGTTCTTGAATTTTTTTGTCTTTTGAGCACCCTGACTCCCCCCTCTTTCACTGACAAATATCACACGTGTCATCTAGAGCTTCCCGCTAGCTCCGGCCGTTGTCTGGGATTTCCCATCCCAGACCCAGGCGGGCTCCACCGCTTGGCTAAGTTTCCAGGCAGACCCGTGGAAGTCAGGATGCATAAAACCCCCTCCATCCACAAATTTTACACTAATACTTCATCCGAGAAGAAAGAACGGTCTGTTTAATGTGCTGTGATTATATAGTAAGGCTCTTTAAAAAGACATTTACAATAAATCATTTGGTCCAATGGTTGCATTCGCAGCAGACGGAGTTACTTCATCATTCAGATCTGAAGGGATTCATTTCAGAGAAAATGGAGCAATATTTTAAAACAAAACTGCCATTTACGTGCAATGCACAAATGATAGATCAGGTATCAAGAGACACCTGGAAACAATTTTGCAGCTTATTCCTGAAAGGAATACTAGAGGT